CGGTTAATTAACGAAATATATAAGGGTGACCTTGACTAATTTTTGAAACATTATAGAGAAGGTTGAATAAAAACCCTAATTAAATTTAATAAATTGCAATACTGAATGATTTTTACCCTTGATAAAATCTATATCTTCATAAAATCTAAATTAATCCATGATTTCATGAAATCTTTTTAATTATTTGATTTTTAAGTGCCATTGAATGAATGCTTTTAGATTCACGTGATTTATTAATTATGTAAAATTTAGTTACCTTTTTTTTTTTTTTATAAAATTTCAAAAAGTTTATAAAACGAAAAAGCTACTTAATTTTTTTTTTTTAATTTCTCTAATTATAAAAATTTATTTAAAAAATGGTGATGTATGAAGATTGGGGTATCCAAATTGATGAAGAAAAGACACCCACCATCCGTCCAAATAACAAAGAATTAAGTCCATGCCACCATATTATAAAATGTATAGGCACAGAATCAGATATTACCATTATATTATATCTATATTTTTTTTTTTTTTTTTTGTCATTTTTTAATTTAATTGTTAATAGAATTCTTTGATATAGTTTGATTATTCAGAGACCAAGTACCACTATAAATGTGGTCCAATCTTATAACCTGTTAATTTTTATTGCCTGTTTTTAATTGAATCAGAGACAAACTCACTCAAGATGAACTCCCATCAATTCATACCATACCAGATATATTATTTAAAAGATAAAGAAAAATAGAAAGATTTAATTTACTTATATTAATATTCTAACAATTATAAGAAAACTACACAAGGCATGCACGTAAATGCAGATGCATTATTTATTTATAAAACAGAAATGTGTTGGATTGTAAATTCATGTAACGAGCTGGCGAGCAGATTGGCACCAGCGGTCGTAAGATAGTTGAAGATTTGGCCAATCCGAGGCGGAAACTGCGAAGTCTTGTACCCAGTTTGTGAGGATCACTTCTTGATCAATTGCAGGCAAGCTGGAAATAGCCTCATTCATTTCTCTTTGTATTTCAACCTTTTCAAAGCTTGACAATATAGGGTAAGCAACACCATTATTTGCGTGGCAAAACAAGGGAATCCATAGCACCAGTAACTTGAACTTCACTTCCCTCGTAACCATCCAGTAATCCTGCCGATTCAGATCTCCGAATAGTATACCTATGTAACAATAACCCCATTAATTTTTCTTTTTCTTTTTATATTTGCTGTAATACTAATTTGAAGAAAAATACTTTTATCTTAAACAACTTATCACACCATTGGAAAATTACAATGAGGGATTAACGGCTCTGTATTTCACATCATAATAGATATTTTGTGATGCTCTTGTGACCTATTCCAACGCTATATATATTTGTTCATCGTTGAATGGAGAAAGAGAAATTATAACCTGAAATCTTAACAATGAGGCCCTGAACTCTGGGAGAAGCAGTGAGTGAAAGAGAAGCAAGAGCGGATGCATGGCTCCACTGCACCAAAGCCTGATCAACAGCTCCATAAGCCCTAAGTTTGTTTGTTATCCACAACAATTCCTGCGCCAATTTCTCTGCCATCACTTCACCATACTCGTCTGCTCCTTCTTCCTTCTTCTTCTGCAACCGGGACACTCCTGTGTCAACCCAAGACATTACTGTGTTGAAGCAGAAACTCAGTCCCTTAACGTATGGCGCAACGTAAGAACCAAAGGGTAGTGCCTTGATGGTGCGAATGGGCCAGCCCCCTGAGTCATCCTGGGATTGGTTACTGATTTGAAGGGAGCGATATAAAAGGGTTGAAGTACGAGCGAATGCGGAAGATAGAGCGGTTTGGTTGACTTGGAGGAGTTCAGAATGGTCGTGACGGGCATTGCCTTCCATTATTGTGTCAGCCATTGTCATTGCGAATTGGTATTTACTTGAAGTGGCCGGGATCTCATTTAGGAGCGCCAAAACCTGCATGCACCATAGAAATCATGTATACATCTGCTGATAATATAAGTTAACTTTATAGCACATAACGAAATATGATAATATACAAACCGTAATAACACATTAAAGAAGAGATTTCATGTCAACATGAAAATATAAAAATAAACAGAAATCTGTAACTTGGGTATCGATCCAATATAATTTCAATATATCAAATGTAATTGGTTTTACATCATTTTGAGTCAAGATTAAAGAATCTTTTGTATTAATCATCAATTTATGTACATAGATATCTTTAATGTAATCTAAAAGTTAATAATTCTGTACATGAGATGGATTAACAATGAAGATCGTGTATATAAAGTTAACAAATTGTTGTAAATTTCAGTCCCATTCATATAAATTAATTCTAATACTTGTGTGTTTTATTGTTACTACAAGAAATATGAGGAAAAAGAAATAGTTGATAATTTTTGACGTGGCGGAAACCGGGAATGAAAAAACTTGCATGTTGGAAACGTGTCGATCTTAGGGGGGCTGAAGGTTGTGATCTGGATATTGAGAATGGAATTTGCGGCCATTTTGGATATATATATATATATATATATACACTGAAAACAAGCATTAAGAAAAGATGTGAAAAAAGAACATGTGCTGTAGATCAGTGGTACTCGATTGTTAAGGTGAATACCGAAACGAAAGCTTTACAGGAGGTTTTTGTTAGATTGTGCATGCAAAACCAAATGTTTGGCAACTGTTGAAAGCATAGATACGTGGCATATTTTCCTCTCTATATGGATAACATATTACTTTAATTCAATGTGCTGTTATGTAAAGAAACAATGCCATTCAAATGGTGCCTACTTTGACGAAAATATTAACATTAAATACTGAACTCATAACTTCACAACAACACTAAAGATTGACTTAACTTCATATAAAAATGGTCATCAATAAAGTAAAAGAAACTTCGTATCTCAACCATAACATAGCTAAGCTTCCGAAATCTTATCGAAAAATGGAATAAAATTAATTAACGTGGACAGGGGCATTGTTAAACGAATTTATAGAATTTGTAATTAAACATTACTTTCTTATAATGTTCATCAGTTGTTCACATTAATATCAACCAACCAGAGAAAATTATTGGGAAACTAGAGATCGAACTTACATGGGTTAGTGATCTGCCAAGGGCTTTAACGGAAGGTCCATCGATTCCTTCATAGAGAATTAAATCAAGGGAAGAACCAGAAGATGGCCATAAGGACAAGGATGATGAAGATGGCCATAAAGATGATGGTAATAAAGAGTCAAAGGATCCTAGAGGTGAAGAGAATCCTTGGAGATAATGATTATTATTGTAAGAAGGGGAATAGGTGATAAAAGGGAAATGGTCCATCAAAACCCTAAGAACCCACACAGTAACCCAAGTCAAGAGCATAACCATGAACTTCAAATGATCACTTGTCTTCCACTTCTCATCAGTGTCTTGAGCTTGGGAGGTGTGTGCCACTGAAGCAAGAGTCTTAGCAGCCATGTTCACAGTGTACATGAAGATTGAGTTCAGAAGACTTGGAGGCCTGCTTTTGTAGGCATATTCTATATCTAAATCAGGTGCCATGGTTGCTTAGGGAAAAGAAAAGAGTGCAATAAAGGTAAGTAACTGAAATGAATGAATGAAAAGGTAGGTATAAATAAGGTGTGAAAGGAAGAAAAAGAAGGTTTTGTAAATTAGGGAAGAATCCAAACCGCCGAGACGGTTATCAGTACCTCACTGTTTCTTTTGGCTTGTTCTCATCATGTTCAGATTTTGAGACAGCTATAAATACCTCACTTAGTTTTATGTTATCTCAGACAAGTTTAGTTGGTTGGAATGGTGGGATTCTTGTAAGTAGACAAGTGTATGCAATGCAGCTCAAGAGGTTTGCTGAATATATAAACGATACCTGCAGACAGACATATAGGCATGAAACCCTAAGTTGTAAAAATTTAGGGATTTGANCATGGTTGCTTAGGGAAAAGAAAAGAGTGCAATAAAGGTAAGTAACTGAAATGAATGAATGAAAAGGTAGGTATAAATAAGGTGTGAAAGGAAGAAAAAGAAGGTTTTGTAAATTAGGGAAGAATCCAAACCGCCGAGACGGTTATCATTACCTCACTGTTTCTTTTGGCTTGTTCTCATCATGTTCAGATTTTGAGACAGTTATAAATACCTCACTTAGTTTTATGTTATCTCAGACAAGTTTAGTTGGTTGGAATGGTGGGATTCTTGTAAGTAGACAAGTGTATGCAATGCAGCTCAAGAGGTTTGCTGAATATATAAACGATACCTGCAGACAGACATATAGGCATGAAACCCTAAGTTGTAAAAATTTAGGGATTTGATTTAATTTTAATATATCAGTTAATTGATTTGATATTTAGAATGGGACTTGATAAGTTTTCATAGATTTATGAATTGAATTTTATTGATTTAGTAGAAATTATTAGAAAAACCTAAGTTATGAGTTGAATTTTGATAAATTAAGTTATAATTGTTGTAAATTTATGTTTATTATTTCAATATATATGTTATTGTAAATTTATCAGCATGTTTTAAACTCACCCACTAAAATCCCTGACTACTGTCTTTGCTTGCGGAAACTTCTCCATGAAAAGATAAGTTACCCTTTTGTTTTGGGGCATAAGTTCAACTCAAATGAACCACAATACCATTTCCCAAAAACTTTCTTCGCCACTAAGAAAGGGGCTCCATGAGGACCACGACAATATTGTCAAGTAATTAGCCTGCATCCTTTATTATACTCTCTCCAATAAAATTAAATTAATTAACCTAAAACAAAATGTTTTTTTTTTTTAAAAAAAAATTCACACAAAAGTAATACTTATCTTCTTACCCTTTTCCTGACTCCAATTTTTTTTTTTTTCTGATTTCAAAATAAAACAAAGATTAAGAAAACTTCTAAATAGGAACAAGGATCTTCATTGAGATCCGACCCCAAATTTTATTAATGCAACAAAGAAAAAAATCCATGCGAAATTCTGTCATACTAAAATCAATTTAACTTGAAAGAAACCATTAGTTCATGTCTACAATATATTTCAATCAAAGACCGAATTTTACGAATTTTGCCAATGATATGATACAATTGATCTTGATGCGAAAATTCATGTGATAATTAGAAAGTTATTTACTTACAAGAATCAATTCAGAAGCAAAGAGAGAGCTTCAGACCCTCCTCATCGACTTTCCTGTTCCAGTGAATGCCATTAACCCGAGGGTTCATCCCTGCAAGAAATTGGATAGTGAACCATTCTAGGGATTGATGAGCTTTGTGATTGAATGGATGCACTTACCAGTGGGATTTGGCACCAATCCAAGTGAATAGAATTCACATAGAGCCTGGCTAGTGACTGAGCTCGAACTGGTCTAAGCTCTTAACTTACATGGTTGGTTACCTTCGTGATGGGAAAACGGACTTTAATGGGAGATGCGTTGACAGGAGAGAACAATAAAAGTAGTAATATCGAGTATTCTGTCAAAAGAGAAGAAAAAGTTAATCTTAACTAACCAAATGATTGGAATGTGAGAAAGGACTCTGAAAGAAGGCCTAAAATGGTCATATATTAGCAACGAGCTTAAACCATCCTACAGTTGACAAATTTAACAAATGAATTATAAAAAAGGTTGGTCGAAGATTTGAATATACATAGAACAAATAATGGAATGTATTGCAAGCATCAAAACTGCACATAAAAGCAATCAGACTACTACATAATAAGTCTTTCAGTTTCTTGGTTCATTGTAACAAAATTGAATATATCTCTGTTTCAGAAATGAGCACAACAATAGCAATCTGTGGGGTTTAGTAGGAAATAAATTATATGCAATCCTCCTCCTTTGTTACATGAGACCACACCGTACTCTGACCACAACTGTTGTCAGGAAATTGAACATTTCTCAGTGATATATACCATTATCTATAGAACTGCAATTGTTAAAAAGACTTTCGATGTGTGTTTATTTATCTTATCTTCTAATGTTGTAAAATTTTTCATTGTTTACAAATAAAGAGAAAATAATTTATGCTCGGTTTTTCATTCATTCCTACCTCTATTTACTCACCAAAAATATTACAATTTATTTATTAAGCAAAAAGACTCATTATCAATTCCACCACTAATACTGTCCAATCCAATTACATGCGACTGGTGGGTTGATTAAAAGATTTCAGAACAATAAAGAGCTCAGTATAAGTTTCATAAAATAATTTGGAAGAAAGTAAAATATATGGAAGAAAGTCTCAATATAGAACATACCTCACTTGATGATGCTCCAGTATATACACATCAGATGTAGAATGATGCGAGTTATGCAAGGATTCTTTACTTCCAATAATAGTGCATCATCTGAGCCTAGCTGGATGTGCTTTTGCAACCTCGGCTAGCCAATCCATCAATCTACAGACACTTAAGCTTAAGTAAACCATCTTAATGATTCATTGTGATCTGGAATCCAACTTGGTTTCCAGTGTCAGAAAGAATTGACAGTAAAACTTCCCTCTTTTATAAGATTTTTAACATGAGGAGAATTTGAGTAAAATTCAAGTATTACTCAGAAGTGGAATAATATGAATTATCAAGGGATCCTTTACTTCGGAGAAAAATGTCACTCAGAAACCAGCAAGATATGCTTCTTCAACCCAGGTACATCAATCCACACAGAAAAGATATGCTTCTTAAATCCAGGTACATCAATCCACACAGAAAGAGTTTCCTAAAGCTTAAATAAAAATCTTGATGACTCATCCTGATCAAATAGTGGGCTCACATCCATCTTCACTTCCAAAGTTAGAAAGAAAAATGGTTGGGATGCTGCCCTCTTTAATTAGATTTCTTACATGTAAAGCAGTTTGGGTGTCTTCTGACAATTTAGATATCACATCCCTAACCACTACATAGTTCTTATCAACTGGATCTGGAAAGTTTCCTTCATCAACCATCTCTTTTAATATCTCAAAAGCCAAAAGTGGGTTTAGGTCAGAAAGAAAAGCACTTAATAATGCTACATACACAAATATGTCAGGCTTCATTCCTTCCTGTTTCATTGTACGGAAATGAACTAAAGCTGCTTTTGGCCTACCACACTTGCAAAGACCACTAATAAGAGACATGAAAGCAACTCTGTTGAGAACACACACTCTTCCCCTCATTTCATTCCATATCATGAGAGCATCATCAGGTCTTCCAGCATTGCATAGTCCATCAATTAGAGTTGTGTAAGTAATCACATTTGGCTCCCTTTCTTTTCCATGCATCTTGGAAAGGCAAAGCATGGCCTGATCAATATCACCACTTTTACACCATCCATCAATCAGCAAGTTGTATGTAATTACCGAGGGAATAAGCCCCTTCATAATCATCTCATTCAGAAGTTGCTCGGACTCTGCAATTCTCTGGGCCTTACAAAGTCCTTTTATCATTATGTTATAAGCTACTACATCAGGACAACATCCACTAGCACATATATTGTGGAATAGCTCCAAAGCTAGATCAACTTCTTGATTATTTACCAAACCGTTCATAGCAGCCGAATAGGAAATTGTATCAGGTAGGAATCCTTCTTGAACCATGTCAGAAAGAAATTTGCAAGCATCCACAACTTTGCCATTTTTACATAGTGATTTAATAAGCAAGGTAGAATGCTTCGTCCATGGTTCATGTCCATGAGCACGCATCTTCCTCACCAGATTAAGGGCTCCTAAAACATCTTGCCTCATACATAGACAACCGAATATCGAGTTGTGGGTAAAGTGGGTTGGTTCAAAACCTGATTGCTCCATTTCTTTCAAAAGCTTATAACTTTCTTCCAGTCTATTTGAATTGCATAGACTGTAAATCAAATTGTTATAAAGTAAAACATTTTGCTTACAACCAATCTGAATCATGTCTCGGAATAGACTTAGGGCCAAATCCAACTTGCCATCTTGCAATAAATTATCAATAACAATACTGAATGAGCTGGTATTTGGGAAAACCTTTCCCTTAAAGTTAAAGAGCATTTCTACCCCAACATTGGGAATAGGTTCACCCCTGATCATGGCCTGAAGCAGATTATAAGCTTTATCGACTGAGCCATTGTTGACAAGAACACTCATAACAGAATTGCAAAGCACAGTTACTGTTTGGGCATCCATTTCGTCCCAGCTTTCCTTAAGTAAATGGGTCAATTCTCCTTCATCACAACATGAAGATAAAAGCTTTGAAAGTATCCCAACATCAGGTTTCTTTCCGGATTCCTTCATTTCCAAGTACAATTGTAATGCTTTCTCACGTTCTCTAGTCTTGCATAACCCTCCAATCATTACATCGTAAATCGATACATCAGGGGCAAAACCTGATTTCTTCATTTTATCAAACAATTGTAAGGCCTTGTCTATCCTAGACTCCTTCACAAACCCATGAATCAACATGCAGAACGTTTTTTCATTCAGTCGGACATTGCAATCTTCCATTCTTTCAATCAACTCACATGCCTTTTCCACCTCACCCCATTTAGTAAAGGACATCACCAAGATATAAAAAACATGTTCATCAACCCAACCCTGATTGTAAATCTCATTGAAAATACTCAAAGCTTTCTCAAACTCCCCGGAATTGCAATACACCTGCAACACAGGCGTCAAAGTGTACTTATCATAACCCCACCCATGATCATGCATTTCTTTCAATCTCATCTCAACTAAGTCAGTTGAACCGGACTTAGAAATTGCCTCTAGCAAACAATTATAGCTATAACTATTTGGTACACAAAGACCCATCATTTTAACTTGATCGAACAACATATTAGCTTCTTCAACTAATCCTAAACTACCCAAACACCTAATCAAGAATCCCAAAGCTCCAGGAGACATAAAACAACGGGAGTTCACAACATCTTGAGCCAAAACCTTGAGAGGGGCATTTTGTCGAGCACGTGATAGAATTGAGGCCATGGCATTGTAAGTATATATATTATGCTTATATCCACTTTGATTTGATGCCCAAATAAAGAACGCGTGAGCTACTCTCCAGCTCTTGAAATTATTTAACACAGTTTCGACAACTTTATTCGTAAGCTTCGGTGCAAGATTGATCAATTCTGGATTGTTGGGAGAAAAGGGTCGTATGGTGAAGATAGAAATGAATTCATCAGTGACATTAACGATATCTGAAGGAAGAGTGGAGTCGTTTTGTGATTTGGTGAAAATGGATCTTTGAAATTTTGAGCTAAAACTGAGGGTTTTGATGAAGTGAGCATATGGCTTCATGTGTTTGATGAATTTGTAAAAGCTTATAAGATACAGTACAGTATAGATATGCTCTGTCTCACACACAAATTGGGACAACTTTCTTCGTAACGCAATTTCTAATCGTTTTAAATAGAGCATACTAAGCTGACAAACCACTTGTATTGATTCGATCGATTCAAACTATGTTGAGGTTTTCTGTCATATTTATCAGAGTAAACGACATATTTCTATTTGAGATTTTACGAAATCCTAAGTTGTTACCATTGGTTACATTTATTCCAAATTATCACCCTTAAAGTTATAGAAAATTGTTTAATATAATGGTAAAAAGGTAAATTAGTCATTTTGCAGGAGGTGACACACGTTAGCAGATCGTTGCCTCTAACAATGCTCTAGCTCACATTAGCAAACGTTGCCCCCAATGTTTTTCACCCTTTTTCGGCGAATCTTCCACTCAAAATCACCCTTGTCACCACCATTTGAACCCTCATCCTCCCCTCTACAAAACCTTACCGCTCACAACCTCTCATCCCTCGCCGATCATCGGCCACGATAACAGCATCGTGCGATTGTTTTTTACTGGTTTTCAACCATTTTGAGCAACGACAACCCCAACCACCACCACCGTTTGACTCCTCGCATCCCCCCTACAAAACCCCTAACCTTCCTAGCCATAGCAGCACATCATTCGCCGCCACGGCAGGTCCAAAAAACGCTATAAACAGGAACCTCTTGGCTGGCAAATGGCGACTAAACGGTTGTTGGGGACATAAGGGTTTTGTAGAGTTGGAGACATTGGTTGTAATGGTGGTTCCAATTGGATTGTTGCCATCCGAATCGACCGAAATCTGACGACTAAAATCTGACGAAGAATAGCAAAACCGTAAACCTAACAACGCCGACAATTAGAAGGGCCAATGAGTCAGGAACCAAAGGGGTTTTCAACAACGGGCTATATGGAAGGTGATGGAGATGACTAGGGGGTTCAACGCCTCGGAAACAACCCAAATTGAGCAAAAACCGATAGGGTGCACAATTGTCGAGGGTGTTATTGAAGTAATTTGAAAATAACATGGTTAATTTTATAATTCTACTAATTTAGGGATTAATAAGTAATTTATTAATTTATTTGTTAAAGGAATTATGGTAACAACACCCTCTTTAACCTAAAAATTGTTAACAGTGTTACTTTAAGGGTGGAAATCTGGAATAAATGGAACCAGAGATACCAAATCGGGATTTCACCAAACTTTGGGTGGGAATATGTCGTTTACTCTATTTACGGCTTACTTTGGAACATTGGATTTGTGAAATGTTCAATGAGTCTTAGAGATTAGTTGAGATGTACACAAGCTGACCGATACTCTGGTCATTAAAAAAAAATACTGACAAATGAATCTCACAAACCCAACATGACACTCCTATCATACCCTCAAGCAATGTTAGTAGACCAGAAAAATCATCAAAAAAACAAAATAAGCAATCACATTGAGATTATAAGAAAAAGTTTGTGAATTTCGATTGCGAATCTATTTTTATTATTTTAAATTAATTAATTATCCTTTTAAGAGGCTTCAACATTTCACACATCCGTACAAAAGTCATTATGATAACACAAATATCTCATTTCATAAACTTCCGTCCGTTAAGATTCTATTATGGTTATTTTCGTTACATTCCTTTCAATAAAAAAATATTAACAACTTGCCAAGTTTTAGTGTTAAATTCATTGAGAGAAGAGCACAAAATTAAAAATTAAAAATCTTTGCAAAGTAAAAATTGAAAAAACATTAAAAATATACTTTTTAAAATATTATTTTTGTAAAATGAGAATTCAATAATAAATTTCCTTAATATAGTCCATTTCGACTATCAAAGAAAGTGGTTCTAGAGATTTCTGATCATTCTATAGAATCTACCCCTATTTTTTGCTTTTAAAAGTAAATTCTTTCAAAAATAATATTAAATCTTAAGCATATTTTTCAAAAAAAAAAAGGCTTTTGTAAATGTTTTGATATATTTAATATATGATTAAGTATTTTAACATAAAAAGTTTATTTTAATCTTCCCTCAATTAACTTTAAAACCAAAAATGGATGATAAAGGGTGTAAGTGACTAATTATGGTGGGCCACTGTCATTTCTTAATATTACAGGGGTGTACAAATAATCCTAATGTAACCTTATAAAAGAATAATATTATGCTTACAATTGAGTCATATAAACAGATAAAAAACAAAAGACAGAATAATTATTTTACATAAATTTTGTACAATTTTTTTCTTTTGTATGACTAGATTGTATGATCCAATTATAAGTAAAATACTATTCCTTATCAAAAGTTAAAAGGAGTAGGGTATTTATGCTAACTTAATGGTGTTTTCAATCTAGTATCTACCTGTGAAAGGGTGAAACATCAGGAGAAATTTATATAATTAAATTATTATAAATAAATCATTAATAACAATATAATCATCATTAATTGATATGATTCTATATAATTAAATATAGATAATAAAGATTCTTCTTTTTTTTCGCATTAAGTATTGATGCTAATGTAACAGTTAAAGGATAAATAAAAAAAAAAAAAATGAGAAGAAAGTTGAAGTACTTACACATGGTGAAGTTGGAAGAGTAGTATAGTCCACATTCAACCGAAGGTAACGGTTTGCCAAAACCAGTTCGCAGAATTTTCAAACATCTAAAAAAGGCATGGTTGGAAAATGAGTGGATGGAGAACTCGAAAAACCAGTAAAAAAATTTCAAGGTTTATGACCAGGGGCCATCTTGAAACCTATATAAATACACCATTATAATTTCATCAGTAAAAACAATAAAATACTCTGAAGATCTAGTAAACAATATATGTAATTATTGTATATTGTAAAATATAAAGTATTATCTTTGCAAATTAAATTCGACACAGAGAAAAAAAAAAACTACTGAGAGATCTGCTATCTGGGATTGTTTTGTATACTAATAATCATCAGTTAGAAAGATGACTGGAGGAGATTTTGTTGCTCCGGCAGGTGCCCGGCACTACGAAGGTGGCCTCACTGCATTTGTGTTGATAACTTGTATGGTTGCCGCGATGGGTGGTCTTATCTTCGGTTATGATATTGGAATCTCAGGTTCTTACTTTACTCATTTCTTTTAAATCTTCTTTTTAATATATTAACGCATTGTAGTGACTCTTAAATGAATTGTTTTGCTTGCAGGAGGGGTGACTTCCATGGAACCGTTCTTGCAAAAGTTCTTTCCATCAGTTATAAAAAAGATGAACGATGCAACAGCTCAGGAAAATGAGTATTGTAAGTTTGATAGCCAGTTGTTAACGTTATTCACTTCTTCTCTTTACCTAGCTGCGCTTGTAGCTTCCGTCTTTGCGTCTGCAGCCACCAGAACGTTTGGTAGAAAATTTTCTATGGTTGTAGGAGGCATTGTGTTTTTAGTAGGTGCAATCCTTAATGGTATTGCCGAAAACATTGAAATGCTTATCATTGGGCGTATACTACTCGGTGTTGGTGTAGGATTTGCTAATCAGGTATATATAACTCAATCAATATAAACCTTTTCTCACTCTCTCTGAAAGGTTCAAGGGTTAATTAATTCAGTTATTTGTGCATTGCAGTCTGTTCCTGTTTATCTATCTGAAATGGCACCCCCAACTATGAGAGGAGCACTCAACATTGGTTTTCAAATGGCGATTACAATTGGGATTCTGATTGCAAATCTTGTCAACTATGGGACTGCCCAGATAAAAGGTGGATATGGGTGGAGAATTTCCTTAGGTCTTGCAGCTGTTCCAGCCTTGATTATGACTGTTGGGGGTTTGCTCCTACCAGACACTCCTAACTCACTTCTTGAGAGAGGCAAGACTGAAAAGGCAAAGAAAATGTTACAAAGAATCCGAGGCACCCCCAATGTAGATGATGAGTTTCAAGATCTTATTGATGCTAGTGATGCTGCGAAAGAAGTTCAAAACCCTTGGAAGAACATTCTATATCCTAGATATAGGCCTCAGCTTGTTATCACCTTCCTCATTCCTTTCTTCCAGCAACTCACTGGTATAAATGTCATCATGTTTTATGCACCTGTTTTCTTCAAGACTCTAGGCTTTGGGGATGATGCTTCTCTCATGTCCGCGGTTATCACAGGCTGTGTCAATGTGGTTGCTACACTCGTTTCTGTATTTGCAGTTGACAGATTAGGCAGAAGGATTTTGTTCCTTGAAGGTGGCACGCAAATGTTGATTTGCCAGGTAATGTAGTCAAAGCTGTTTTAATTAGACAACAATAGCAAGGATATTATATCAAATACAACCCATTTAAGAATCAGACTTTGTTATATAAATCCCCTCAAAACAAAATAATCAGATTTCATGTTATCTTTGTGTGAATGTAGGTTGCGATTGGAGTTATTCTAGGCCTGAAGTTTGGCGTGAATGGAAGCGGACAAATGTCAAAGACGGATGCAGACATAGTATTGATTTTGATTTGTGCATATGTTGCAGCATTTGCGTGGTCATGGGGTCCCTTGGGGTGGTTAGTGCCGAGCGAAATAAACCCTCTCGAGGTTCGATCAGCAGGGCAAAGCATTAACGTGGCAGTGAACATGCTCTTCACGTTCCTTATTGCTCAAGCCTTCCTCTCAATGCTCTGCCACCTCAAGTTTGGTCTGTTCTTCTTCTTCGCCGTATTCGTGTTGATAATGACAGTTTTCGTATACTTGTTCTTGCCTGAGACCAAAGGAGTACCCATTGAAGAAATGAATCTTGTGTGGAAGGCACATTGGTGGTGGGCAAGATATGTTCCTGATGACTCTCCACCTACCTCTGGCAGCCTCCAGCTTACCACAAGCAAAGCTGTTTAAACATATATTCCTCGGATTCAGAGGTTTCAGCAGCAGTTCAGAAGAGAAGAGAAAAGGAAGAAAAAGATTGAAGGCTATAAAAGACCGAGCCAAAATAAGTAAAAAGAAAATGGAATAAACGATGAACCCCAAGAAATATAAAATTTAAACGATGGAATAAACAATAAAGCCCAGAAGCAGATGGAATAATTGACAAAACAATTGAAAAAAAAAATGAAGAAAACCCAGAAATTCTTTTGCATTTTCTAAGTGAAAATGTTTACCCTGCTAGATTGTTACTAAGTGACGAATTGTCAACTTGGAATTTTGTAGATTTTTACTATAGAAATTTTGTTTGCAATGCTCATTCATTTGCCTAGCTTGATTTAACAAAGGCAGGCATTTGTATTTCGCTCAAATAATGTTTTAATAAAACTTTATTTGTTTCATTTCACAAAAACTATCAATTCAACCAACTCTTAGGTGGTTACTCGGTCAACTGGGACCTTCGAGTATACGACTTAAAAGGTCTTGAATTCGATTTTTCACCCTTGTTAATAAAGGTGGTCACTGGAGAATTATCTAGTCGTTAACTTCAGAACCCTAGATGATTAGTTAAGATACACGCAAACTGTTCGGACACCCCCAATTACCCAAAAAAAAAAAAACATATGTTTTTGCAGCGTGGGCATCATCAATTAAAGAATTATATATATAACAACACATACTTTAATTTCTATTACGCAATTAATTTAGGTTGCAGTAGGCAGGTTTTTGCAAAAAGCATATGTTATTCTTTATTCAATAGTTAAAAAAATTATGTATTGGTGCTCGCCTGTAAATATTAAGCGGCAAACGGATTACAGCTAAAACTGTTAGGAGCAGTGGGAGATGGATGGAGAGACTTTGTTGTCGAAAACAGTTGCTGCCAACACTGCATGAAGTACCAACACCACTAAATGTAGCAACAAAGGATTAAAAGATGAGTTGATAATAGGAAAGCCAACGAAAGTACAGAACCGTTTTCTGTTTTCTGGAGATCAAATTTTTGCTGGACATATGCCATCTTTGGAGTCCTAATGCCCACTTCAAAATCTATTCATTCTCACGGGGATTAATAAATTAAGGCAGGAGTTTCCTATTATTTCCTAAGTGCTTATTTTAAATGTCTCAAAATTTGCATTGACAGATCCTTCATCTACCAATACGATTCCTGCCAGATTTCTTTTACAAACTGAGAAGCGGTATTTGAAGTTTTAATTACCTAGGAGGCTAGGACAATGACTGGAGGAGGATTTGCTACCCAAGGTGGCGGCCGGAGGTATGAGGGCCGTTTCACCCCCTTTGTCGTTATTACTTGTTTGGTTGCCGCCTTGGGCGGTCTCCTCTTTGGTTATGACCTTGGAATCTCAGGTTTGCACCAATTCCTGAAACTGGTCGAGTCTTTAAATATTATTTGTTTTCTTTTTCTTTGTCAGATTTTGAAAAACATGATGATATGGTGTTTAAAACTATTTAGGGGGAGTCACCTCAATGGAAATGTTCTTGAAGAAGTTCTTCCCATCGGTGTACCACAAACAGCATGATGAGACTATCCATGAAAGTCAGTACTGCAAGTTTGACAGCGAGATGCTTACACTGTTCACATCTTCCCTCTACCTTGCTGCTTTGGTAGCTTCCTTCTTTGCTTCAATAGTGACCAGAGTATTTGGTCGTAAAGTTTCCATGGTGTCTGGAGGCTTCGCCTTTCTTGTTGGAGCTATTCTTAATGGAGCTGCTTCAAACATCGCGATGCTAATCATTGGTCGTTTGCTGCTTGGTGTGGGCGTTGGATTTGCTAATCAGGTATTTTATCCATGTAAGTAATAGATAAAATCTCATTCTCTTTACTGATATCATTTAATAATTTCATCATTCGTCCACGGCAGTCTGTTCCAGTCTATCTATCTGAAATGGCGCCAGCAAAAGTTAGAGGAGCACTCAACATTGGTTTCCAGATGGCCATTACCATTGGTATTCTTGTAGCCAATCTTGTGAACTATGGCACAGCAAAAATTGATGGTGGATGGGGATGGAGAGTTTCATTAGCTCTTGCAGCTGTCCCAGCCGTGATGATGACTGTTGGGTCTGTATTCCTTCCTGATACTCCCAACTCCATCCTTGAGAGAGGCCAGCCAGATAGGGCAAGAGATATGTTAAAGAAAATTCGCGGCACCATTAATGTTGAAGAAGAGTTCCAGGATCTTCATGATGCTAGTGAAGCCGCAAAGAAGGTAGATCATCCATGGAGAAACATCTTGCAGCCAAGATATAGGCCTCAACTTGTTTGTTGCATTCTCATTCCATTCTTCCAACAGCTTACCGGTATCAACGTAATCATGTTCTATGCTCCAGTTCTCTTTAAAACCATAGGTTTTGGTGATGATGCTTCACTTATGTCTGCGGTTATTACCGGTATTGTCAATGTGGTTGCCACAATTGTTTCCATCTACTCAGTTGACAGGTTCGGAAGAAGAATTCTGTTCTTAGAAGGCGGCATTCAAATGATTATCTGCCAGGTACTTAATTCGTGCATCTCTGTAGACCTGCAACTCTTTACAGCTTAATCTTACTCATGAATTTTTGTTTTGCAGATTGCAGTTGGAGGGCTGATTGGGAAGAAATTCGGTGTGGACGGTACAGGGGTGCTGTCCAAATTCGATGCCGACTTCATCTTGTTCTTAATTTGTGCATATGTAGCAGCCTTTGCATGGTCCTGGGGACCGTTGGGTTGGCTGATTCCCAGTGAGATATGCCCTCTTGAGATTCGATCAGCAGGACAAGCCATAAACGTATCAGTTAACATGCTCTTCACCTTCATCATCGCTCAAGTGTTTCTAGCCATGCTTTGCCACATGAAATTCGGTCTCTTCTTCTTCTTTGCCGGCTTTGTGATTATCATGACTACATTCATTGCCTTCTTCATCCCTGAGACAAGGAACGTTCCGATAGAAGAGATGAACAGAGTGTGGAAGGCACACTGGTTCTGGGGAAAATATATCCCAGATGATGCTGTCATTGGACGCCTGTATGAGATGCAAGCTGAGCCCAAGGACCCTTACAACTTCAATCTGCAACAAACTCTGAGGCTGTAAAGACGGTTTCACTTATGAATAAGCACAACAATAATCAATACTGTATTTGTTTCTAAACTAAGTTCGTATGTACATCCTGCTATTCAAGTTAATGTTTTAAACTCTTCCTTGGAATAAGACGACATATCACCTTTTTTTTTTTTTTTTCAGTAAGTTCCCTAATTAAGTTCATGTTAATTTACTTCAATTCTATATACAGATACTTGTGAATGTTTTGTATTCAGTTCCCTATAGAGCAAACGACATGTTCCCACCCAAGGTTTGGCGAAATGGCAAGTTTCCAACCTTGGTTTCAAAGATTTCAGATCCCCCTTGCTTAAATTAACAGAAAATCGTTTAATATTATGGTCAAAGGGTAAAGTGGTCATCTTACTATATTAAAGCTGGTGGAGGCTAGTTGGGGTAATTTCACAGACACCTAGTGTGCACAGATGGGAAGGAGAATGGTGAATCATCGACAAAAGGAAAATCGTCTAGAAAATAAACCCAAACAGTACGGAAACACTCCTGAACAATCAACCACTCCAAAGAGATTACTAATTCACCCAATCAACTCCAAAAAAAGCTCCAATTTCAACCCAAACTCACAGAATCGTGCAAAAAACCCTAGGAAAGGTCGTCGACAATTGGGGAGCTAACTCGGTTGGGAATATTGAGGTTTTTGAAGAGAAGAGGCCGGTGAGAGATTAGATTTTGGTGGTGAGGTTTGGTCAGAAATGGAGGGACGGTTTCTCGAGCCACAAATTGGCTGAAATCCAGCAAGTCGACAGGGGTGGGGTGAGAGAGGTTTTGGTGTATAAGGCATGGGAAAGAGGATGGTGGCAGTGGGGAAAGCCACAATCATCGAAAAAATGACAGAAAAAGCAGGTGTGACATTTGCTAACGTGTGCCGCCTTCCGCTAAATGCGCCCTCTAATAATTTAGGGTTAAAAAAATAATTTATTAATTTGGGACTAAAAATCGTTAAGTATTGGTTTAAAGGTTGGAATATAGAATTTATGAAACTATGAGTAAAAACTTGCTATTTCGCCAAACCTAGGGTGAAAACATGTCTTTTACTGTCCCCTATACGATATCAATATGATGTTCCTTGAAAATAATGCAAGAGTAAAAATAAAATAATAAAGTCAATAAATAAGAGTAAATGGTAAGATAATATAAAAATTATTACTGCTAACTTATATAATAGCCCAAATTTTTAACTATTACCGCGCTGTGGTTTAAATTTTGCATAAGTCATATGCGAGTGATGTCTCAAAGCCAGAAAACTAGGAACTCAAAACAGCATTAACTAGAATGTCCTCTGTGTTAAAAGTGGATAAATAAGCATACAAGTCATGAAACCAAATCACATATCTATGGTACATCCATACGAGGTAGATGTTAATGTTCTAATGAAATTTCTCATGGTCCCTGATGTGGCACAATCTAGCTCTCACACTAATGAGATAATAAATAATATCGTTGATGTTTGATTTTGATATCAACAACTTGGCATGTGTAAAGTATTAAAAAGTTACATGTGAACAGATTATAGAAAGTGAGTAAAGTATTGTGATGACAGTTGCATGCAAGTACATAAAATAAAGTTGACAAGAGAGTTTTTATAGTAGTTTGAATGCTTATAAGTGACTCCTATATCCACTATAATTTTTATTTATAATTGTTCTTTTCTTGATTGTTACACAGGTTTATGACGGTTGCAATCCGATTTGTAATTACAAATATTTGTGTTCTAAGAAAATGTTAAGTCAGTCTTTTTCTAATAGTGTGTAAGTTGTATGTCTTTAACCTCTCTTTTGTGAGGGAAAGTTGTCTATTTATACCCGTTTTACTCAAGGTAATGAATGGTTTTTACAAGTGGTCTGATGGCGTGAAGATTCTTCCTACCTTTCCATTTGTTTAGAACTTTCATGTATATTCCTAAATTAAATGGGGTTTGGACAGATGTACGAACCAAATTCACCCTTCTACTAAATTTATTTTTCAGATGATTTGGATTTTAACAGATAATATTCTCATTATCTTCGGGTATGTGTCGAATTCTGGTGGGTGGAGAGATATGCTGAATCTTGATGGGTGGAGATGATGTTATTCGTGTGTCAGCCCCTATTTTTAAGCATAACAAATATAAATCAAAGTCTATCCTTCGGAACTTTACATTGAACTAGAATTCAAATCAGATCGTGGATAATTTGGTTTTGTATAGCTGAAAATTATACAGTTGAATACGTTATACGTACATGGACCCGACTCTATTACAAAATAAGGTACAAGAACCGGACGATCAGATATCAAGACCGTGTTTGGAAACTCACTCTGGGTAATCTCAGTTATGCAACTCACAGGTGAATTTGGGAGATGGGGATGATAGTTTAATTTTAGTTTGATGAACTAAAAGCAGTTGAAGAGAAGGTTAGTTTAGGAGTTGAAGTAACTGCACGAACTTGAAGTAGTGGGGTTCTGAAAACTTGCATGAACTACCAAAATTACTAAATGTAGCAACAAAGGATAACAGATGGCTTTCGACGAGTTGATATATAGGAAATCCAACCGAAGTACGAAACTGTTTTCTGTTTTCTGGGAAAAAAAAAAAACTGCTGGAAATATGCTATCTTTAGAGTCCTAATGCCCACTTCAAAATCTATATAAAAGCCACATGCTCACCAAGATTAATAAATCATAACAGGAGTTTTCCTATTATTTCCTAAGTGCTTATTTAAAATGTCTCAAACAAAATTGCATTGAAAGATCCTTTATCCACGACCAATACAGTTCGTGTCAACTTCCTTTTTATAAACTGAGAAGCTCTATTTGAAGTTTTAATTAAGTACGAAAATGGCTGGAGGAGGATTTGCTTCTCAAGGTGGCGGCAGGATTTATGAAGGCCGTATCACCCCCTTTGTCGTTATTACTTGTTTGGTTGCCGCCATGGGTGGTCTCCTCTTCGGTTATGATCTTGGAATCTCAGGTTGGCGCCGATTGTTGAAACCACTGGGGTCTTTATTTTTCTTTGTTTTCTTTTTCCTTTTTTTTTTTTTTTTCAGGTTTTGAAAAACATAATGATGTGGTGTTTAAAACTATGTAGGAGGAGTAACCTCTATGGAAATGTTCTTGAAGAAGTTCTTCCCATCGGTGTACCACAAACAGCATGATGAGACTATCCATGAAAGTCAGTACTGCAAGTTTGACAGCGAGATGCTTACAATGTTCACATCTTCCCTCTACCTTGCTGCTTTGGTAGCTTCCTTCTTTGCTTCAATAGTGACCAGAGTATTTGGTCGTAAAGTTTCCATGGTGTCTGGAGGCTTCGCCTTTCTTGTTGGAGCTATTCTTAATGGAGCTGCTTCAAACATCGTGATGCTAATCATTGGTCGTTTGTTGCTTGGTGTGGGCGTTGGATTTGCTAATCAGGTATTTTATCCATATAAGTAATAGATAAATTCTCATTCTCTTTACTGATCTTATTTAATAATTTCATCATTCGTCCATGGCAGTCTGTTCCAGTCTATCTATCTGAAATGGCACCAGCAAAAGTTAGAGGAGCACTCAACATTGGTTTCCAGATGGCCATTACCATTGGTATTCTTGTAGCCAATCTTGTGAACTATGGCACAGCAAAAATTGATGGTGGATGGGGATGGAGAGTTTCATTAGCTCTCGCAGCTGTCCCAGCCGTGATGATGACTGTTGGGTCTGTATTCCTTCCTGATACTCCCAACTCCATCCTTGAGAGAGGCCAGCCAGATAGGGCAAGAGATATGTTAAAGAAAATTCGCGGCACCAGTAATGTTGAAGAAGAGTTCCAGGATCTTTATGATGCTAGTGAAGCCGCAAAGAAGGTAGATCATCCATGGAGAAACATCTTGCAGCCAAGATATAGGCCTCAACTTGTTTGTTGCATCCTCATTCCATTCTTCCAACAGCTTACCGGTATCAATGTAATCATGTTCTATGCTCCAGTTCTCTTTAAAACCATAGGTTTTGGTGATGATGCGTCACTTATGTCTGCGGTTATTACCGGTATTGTCAATGTGGTTGCCACAATTGTTTCCATCTACTCAGTTGACAGGTTCGGAAGAAGAATTCTGTTCTTAGAAGGCGGCATTCAAATGATTATCTGCCAGGTACTTAATATGTGCATCTCTGTAAGACCTGCAACTCTTTACAGCTTAATCTTACTCATAAATTTTTGTTTTGCAGATTGCAGTTGGAGGGCTGATTGGGAAGAAATTCGGTGTGGATGGTACAGGGGTGCTGTCCAAATTCGATGCCGATTTCATCTTGTTCTTAATTTGTGTATATGTAGCAGCCTTTGCATGGTCCTGGGGACCGTTGGGTTGGCTGATTCCCAGTGAGATATGCCCTCTCGAGATTCGATCAGCAGGACAAGCCATAAACGTATCAGTTAACATGCTTTTCACCTTCATCATCGCTCAAGTGTTTCTGGCCATGCTTTGCCACATGAAATTCGGTCTCTTCTTCTTCTTTGCCGGCTTTGTGGTTATCATGACTATATTCATCGCCTTCTTCATCCCTGAGACGAGGAACGTTCCGATTGAAGAGATGAACAGAGTGTGGAAGGCACACTGGTTCTGGGCAAAGTATATCCCTGATGATGCTGTCATTGGAGGTGCCTATGAGATGCGAGCTGAGCCCAAGGACACGTGAAACATCAATCTACAACAACCTCAAGGCTGTACAAAGACGATTTCACTAGTGAATAATCACAACGATAATCAATACTGTATATATAAACATCCTGTTATTCAAGTTTATGTTTTGCGCTCTTCCTTGTAAGTCCTTATTATTAAGTTCTTGTTAATTAACTTCAATTCTATATATAATATCTTTTAGTAAATGTTTTGTATTCAGTCTCCCTGTACAAAATGATGTTCCTTGAAATTAATGCCAGAGTAAAAATGAGATAATAAAATTAATAAATAAAAAAAAATGATAATACATTTTCATATTAATAAAAAAGAATTAACTACTAGTCTACTACTGTTATCTTATCTAATTGGCCTCAACTTTTCATTGTTATCCCTGTGCTTTATTTAGCATGAGTCATTGCAATTGATGTCTCAACCCCAGAAAACCTGAGAACTCAAAAGAGAAATAAGAAGAATGTCCTCTGTATTAAATGTGGATAAATCAGCATACAAGTTATAAAACCAAATCATGTATCTTTTATACATCCATAAGAGGTAGCTGCTATGATGAAATTTCTCATGGTACCTGATATAACACTGTGTAGCTCAGACTAATGATATAATGAATAATAATTAAGAGAAGTCTGTCCTTCGGAACTTTACATTGAACTAGAACTCAACTCAGATCTGTGATAATTTAGTGTTTTATAGCTCAAAATTATACAATTGAATACATACATAGACCGGACTCTATTACAAAATATGTTACAAGAATATATTGAAGTATAGATTTACCCACATTTGATTTCACAGATGTCAGAATCTCAAAGAATGAGGATATATTTGCTTAGCAATGTGAGAGAGGACTATGCAACTGAGATTGACTCCAAGAGAGGATCAAGATACTCTTTGAGCTTTGCCTTTGTAATTGCACCTTCTCTCCTGCTTTCCGGAACTTCCTGCCCACTCTTGAAGAGAATCAAAGTTGGCAATCCATAAACTTTATACTGTTCAATTAGTTGAGGGTTCGCGTCATGATCAATCTTTACAACCATCAATCTGTCTCCATATTCCTAAACACAATCAAAAGAACTCCATTTCAAAAGCTGTCTCATGTATAGTAATACTATACTACCTTAAATGTATTACTGGCCAAATTTTTCATGATAAATTAATTATCAGTTCAATTGATGCCAATTGCCATCATCAAACAAAATTATTTCATCACTAGAAGACATAGTTCAGTCCGTATACAGAACAATCAAACTTGATAAAAACTCATAATTTATATCAGATCTCTTAATTGATAAGTACCAAAAATTAACATTAAGGACACCAAATAAAGATAGGCATGACATAAGCTACGAATTGCAAACCATTTGTCCGATAAATGACAAAATGAAAATTAAGATTAGAGTAAGTTTATTCTTCAATTTTCTAATGGCGCCAACTGTTTTCAGATAGGGGAACAGAATCCATGTCTTCTTCAACAGCACAGCTATACCAATCAGATACGGAGGCACTTTTATTCAATTGAAAGAACATTTTATTTGCAGCAGGTACACTTTTTAACGTTAAGCACATGAAGGGAAGTCTTCAGAGGCATCATTTTTTATTCCTAAAACATATTAACAAATCATTGAGCTTCAGTAGCAAGAGAACACAATCAATTAATTCCAAACAACTGAGATAATCCACACTTATAAGATATCCTCTGCAATCTCATAACTTCCCTTCATATACTACTAAAACTAGCTAGTAGTATAGGGCCTGGAAATCAATCTTGATATCTTGGGTGCAATTTCTAATTTGATATATCATTAATTACTATCTTTTTCTTTAAATTCTGAGAATCAGAAATAGAAAAAATTCACGTATCTGGGTTGCCTCCAAAATTTTTTTATCAATTAGAAATTGAATGCCAAAACTATTTGGCACTAGGTGCAAATTTTGAATAACATATGCTCTGGAGTGGTCTACAAGTTTCCAGTTCAAATATCAACCACAGCAACAACAAAACGACTACTAAAAGGCTGAAAGGTGCTCTTCTATAACCCATATATTACTGTAAAACAACAACCTAATTAATTACAAGCACAACTTGAATCTTAGCTTCCACAGTCCTTTGCCCAAGCATCATTTCTGGGTATCTAAAGCAAATATGCACCTGAAAAATGACTATAATCCCTTTCTTATGGGATGGAAGGGTTTCAAATGAATGATTTGCAAATAAGCTCAATTAGCCTAGCATCATTTCTGGGTCAAAAATTCATTATCTTCATCTTCATCCTAGAAAAAAAAAAAAGGTCTTGAATCCCCTCTAGCTCTACGACTATAATTGCTGTTTAACTGCTGAAACATCCCTTCAATAAAAACTTGAAATGCAATGAAAAAATATGTTAAAACATACCAGGTGAGAAATTCTCAAATTCAATAAATTTTTTTGTTGGTTTCACTTGACGAAAAAGAAAAGAATGAATATGTATCCAATCTCAACCATTCTCAGTGAAAGTTCGGATGTACGAACATTTTATGTGTTTTTTTTTTATTATCTTCGGTATGTGTCGAATTCTGGTGGGTGGAGAGATATGCGAATCTTGATGGGTAGGGATGATGTTATTCGTGTGTCAGCCCCTATTTTTAGCATACAAATATAAATCAAGTCTATCCTTCGGAACTTTATTGACTAGAATTCAAATCAGATCGTGGATAATTTGGTTTTGTATAGCTGAAAATTATACAATTGAATACGTTATACGTACATGGACCCGACTCTTTACAAATAAGGTACAAGAACCGACGATCAGTATCAGACCGTTTTGGAAACTCACTCTGGGTAATCTCAGTTATGCCACTCACAGGTGAATTTGGGAATGAGGATGATAGTTTAATTTTAGTTTGATGAACTAAAGCAGTTGAAGAGAAGATTAGTTTAGGAGTTGAAGTAACTGCACGAACTTGAAGTAGTGGGGTTCTAAAACTTGCATGAACTACCAACATTACTAAATGTAGCACACAGGTAAAAGATGGCTTTCGACGAGTTGATATAGGAAATCAACCGAAGTACGAAACTGTTTTCTGTTTTCTGGGAAAAACAAAAAAAACTGCTGGAAATATGCTATCTTTAGAGTCCTAATGCCCACTTCAAAATCTATATAAAAGCCACATTCTCACCAAGATTAATAAATCATAACAGGAGTTTTCCTATTATTTCCTAATGCTTATTTAAAATGTCTCAAACAAAATTGCATTGAAAGATCCTTTATCCACGACCTACAGTTCCTGTCAACTTTTTTTTATAAACTGAGAACTCTATTTGAAGTTTTAATTACGTACGAAAATGGCTGGAGGAGGATTTGCTTCTCAAGGCGGCGGCAGGATTTATGAAGGCCGTATCACCCCCTTTGTCGTTATACTTGTTTGGTTGCTGCACGGGTGGTCTCCTCTTCGTTTATGATCTTGGAATCTCAGGTTGGCGCCGATTGTTGAAAGCACCGGAGTCTTTATTTTTCTTTGTTTTCTTTTCCTTTTTTTTTTTTTTTTTTTTTTTTTTTTTTAAGGTTTTGAAAAACATAATGATGTGGTGTTTAAAACTATGTAGGAGGAGTAACCTCTATGGAAAGTTCTTGAAGAATTTCTTCCCATCGGTGTACCACAAACAGCATGATGAGACTATCCATGAAAGTCAGTACTGCAAGTTTGACAGCGAGATGCTTACAATGTTCACATCTTCCCTCTACCTTGCTGCTTTGGTAGCTCCTTCTTTGCTCTCATAGTGACCAGATTATTTGGTCGTAAAGTTTCCATGTGTCTGGAGGCTTCGCCTTTCTTGTTGGAGCTATTCTTAATGGAGCTGCTTCAAACATCGCGATGCTAATCATTGGTCGTTTGCTGCTTGGTGTGGGCGTTGGATTTGCTAATCAGGTATTTTATAAGTAATAGATAAACTCATTCTCTTTACTGATATTATTTAATAATTTCATCATTCGTCCACGGCAGTCTGTTCCAGTCTATCTATCTGAAATGGCACCAGCAAAAGTTAGAGGGCACTCAACATTGGTTTCCAGATGGCCATTACCATTGGTATTCTTGTACCCAATCTTGTGAACTATGGCACAGTAAAATTGATGTGGGATGGGGATGGAGATTTCATTAGCTCTCGCAGCTGTCCCAGCCGTGATGATGACTGTTGGGTCTGTATTCCTTCCTGATACTCCCAACCCATCCTTGAGAGAGGCCAGCCAGATAGGGCAAGAGATATGTTGAAGAAAATTCCCGGCACCAGTAATGTTGAAGAAGATTTCCAGGATCTTTATGATGCTAGTGAAGCCGCAAAGAAGGTAGATCATCCTGGAGAAACATCTTGCAGCCAAGATATAGGCCTCAACTTGTTTGTTGCATCCTCATTCCATTCTTCCAACATTTACCGGTATCAATGTAATCATGTTCTATCTCCAGTTCTCTTAAAAACCATAGGTTTTGGGTGTGATGCGTCACTTATGTCTGCGGTTATTACCGGTATTGTCAAGTGGGTTGCCACAATTGTTTCCATCTACCTCAGTTGACAGGTTCGGAAGAAGAATTCTGTTCTTAGAAGGCGGCATTCAAATGATTATCTGCCAGGTACTTAATATGTGCATCTCTGTAAGACCTGCAACTCTTTACAGCTTAATCTTACTCATAATTTTTGTTTTGCAGATTGCAGTTGGAGGGCTGATTGGGAAGAAATTCGGTGTGGATGGTACAGGGGTGCTGTCCAAATTCGATGCCGATTCATCTTGTTCTTAATTTGTGTATATGTAGCAGCCTTTGCATGGTCCTGGGGCCCGTTGGGTTGGCTGATTCCCAGTGAGATATGCCCTCTCGAGATTCGATCAGCAGGCCAAGCCATAAACGTTCAGTTAACATGCTTTTCACCTTCATCATCGCTCAAGTGTTTCTGGCCTGCTTTGCCACATGAAATTCGGTCTCTTCTTCTTCTTTGCCGGCTTTGTGGTTATCATGACTATATTCATCGCCTTCTTCATCCCTGAGACGAGGAACGTTCCGATTGAAGAGATGAACAGAGTGTGGAAGGCACACTGGTTCTGGGCAAAGTATATCCCTGATGATGCTGTCATTGAGGTGCCTACGAATCGAGCTGAGCCAAGGACACTGAAACATCAATCTACACAACCTCAATGTGCTGACAAATGACGGTACAGGGGTGCTGTCCAAATTCGATGCCGACTTCATCTTGTTCTTAATTTGTGCATATGTAGCAGCCTTTGCATGGTCCTGGGGACCGTTGGGTTGGCTGATTCCCAGTGAGATATGCCCTCTTGAGATTCGATCAGCAGGACAAGCCATAAACGTATCAGTTAACATGCTCTTCACCTTCATCATCGCTCAAGTGTTTCTAGCCATGCTTTGCCACATGAAATTCGGTCTCTTCTTCTTCTTTGCCGGCTTTGTGATTATCATGACTACATTCATTGCCTTCTTCATCCCTGAGACAAGGAACGTTCCGATAGAAGAGATGAACAGAGTGTGGAAGGCACACTGGTTCTGGGGAAAATATATCCCAGATGATGCTGTCATTGGACGCCTGTATGAGATGCAAGCTGAGCCCAAGGACCCTTACAACTTCAATCTGCAACAAACTCTGAGGCTGTAAAGACGGTTTCACTTATGAATAAGCACAACAATAATCAATACTGTATTTGTTTCTAAACTAAGTTCGTATGTACATCCTGCTATTCAAGTTAATGTTTTAAACTCTTCCTTGGAATAAGACGACATATCACCTTTTTTTTTTTTTTTTCAGTAAGTTCCTTAATTAAGTTCTTGTTAATTTACTTCAATTCTATATACAGATACTTGTGAATGTTTTGCATTCAGTTCCCTATAGAGCAAACGACATGCTCCCACCCAAGGTTTGGCGAAATGGTAAGTTTCCACCCTTGGTTTCAAAGATTTCAAATCCCCCTTACTTAAATTAACAGAAAATCTTTTAATGTTATGGTCAAAGGGTAAAGTGGTCATCTTACTATATTAAAGCTGGTGGAGGCTAGCTAGGGTAATTTCATAGACA